TGATGCAACCCTAAACCCCCCAACCGTAGAACCCTAAAACCCTAAACCCAAGAACCCGCAGGATTAAACCCTATAACCCTAAACCCTAAAACCCTAAACACTAAAACCCTAAAGCCCTAAACCCTAATCAAAATGGTCCCGAAAGCATCCTGGCCCCCCCGGGCGCCCCAATAACTTCTTCGTAACTCCCATACCCTGAGGGTCCAAGGACCCAAATAATAGGGTCCCTTTACAGGGGTCATACGGGGATATATAGGGAAATATGGGGATTATATAGGGGTATATAGGACCCAGATAGTAGGGTTCTAGGGCCCAAATACCATTAAAAGTATAGTCTTTTGGCCTTAAAACCCTATTAGTTGGTTCCCTGGACCCTTTCGGATACTTCTCCAGGGTCTCTGACCTGTAACCCCCCTTCGCAACTTCCGTACATGTAGCACGTCTTGTAGTTGAAGTTAATATCTCTACTGCTTGGGTGACTTGCGCAAAGCCCTTTTGAAGTGCTTTACCCACAGGGTTCATGTAGGAATAACTTCTATGCTTAGAGCCCAAAGGGTTTCCCAGATAGTTAATTTGGGGCCCAAGTATATATTATGTAGCTACATGAACTATAGTCTAAACTCCTTAAAGGGGTTTATACAGGGGTTATTAAGGGGGATTCTAGGAGCTTAGACCCTAAGCCCTAAACCTTAGGCTTATTAGAGGGTACTACGGTGGATACTAAAAATCTTGCATGGCCCTAAGTACCTTATACCTTGGGAACTATAGTCTTAGTACTATAGTATAGTAAGGTCATGCAGGATTTTTAGTATCAACTGTAGGAGTTTGGACTGTAGCTACATGGAGCCTTTGGGTAGGAGATCGAGAGCATCGAGAATGCTACTGAAGCCTCTTCACTACTGCAGGCTTCGCTCCAGGGTGGTTCAGGGTTGAGGGGTTAGGGTTTAGGGGTTAGGGTTTAGGGTTTAGAGTTTAGGGTTTAGGGGTTAGGGTTTAGGGTTTAGGGTAGCATAGTGGCTATAGAATCCCCTAATCATGGAGAATCAACTGGAAAATGAAATGGACACCGGGATTTATAGGGATTGGAATAGTAACTGGGTTGGCTTTTGGGATATTTCGACATTTCCCCTCATTGGTTTCCTAAGGGTTCGAGTACCTAATGATCATATACTTGCCCAGAACCTGCTCCAAAATCACTATTGTCCAATGTACCTCATTCTTCCCTAAACCCTAAACCCTAAACCCTAAACCCTGAAACGGACCCTTGGGGTCAGGACCCTATATTCTACACGTGTTTCTAAGGGCTCACAGGCCAGGCGTGGTAAGTAGTTCCTGGTATCCCCTCATGGAGATTGCGGTTTAAGGTTTAGGGTTCAGGGTTTAGGGTTTAGGGTTTCGGGTTTAGGGTTTAGGGTTTCGGGTTTAGGGTTTAGGGTTTCGAGTTTAGGGTTTAGGGTTTAAGGTTTACCTGGAGATCCTGGTGTACGGTTTTTATAGGCAACTTCCCCAAAGTGTACTATTTTTAGGGGGTCTACTAAAAGTTGACGATTTCCCGCCTTGCTGTTTCATGTGAGCCTGAAGAAGTTCAACATCCGGGAAGTGTGCCAGGGCCTCAAGACTGAATACCCCAATAGAAACCCTTTTAAGCTCCGTGCCTTCAGGTCCGGCCATGTCGAGAGATGGCATCTTTGAGGACAGAAGGGGACATTCCCAGTTTCAGGGTTGCTTTCAGCCTCTTACTGTCCCCAACGCACTGCCATAGCAACCTTGTATTTCTGCAAGGTTCGAGCATGTAATGTAGCCGGGTGGCACACGCGTGATAGTGCGCACACCCGGCCTACAAAGTCTTCGTCTTGCTGACACGAGAAGCTTATGGGGTTTAAAACTAGCTCCTCCGAAGCTGCTTCAGCCCTCAGAGTGTGCACTACATGCGCCCACATGTGCGATTTCGGAATCACTTGAAACCTTGGAAGGTTGCGTGCAAGGGCCATCGTAGCAAGTTTGTTGAATGTTTCCAGGAAACCAAAGCCACAACGGGCAATCGTCCTTGCAATGCTTGGCTGCATCCATAGCCCTTGCCAATACAACAGTCTCAAACATTCGTTGGCGAACTTGGCGGCACTCCAGATGTTATGCAAATACTCCTCATCATTACCAACGTAGTCGGCCAGAAGGATTGCAAATCTCCACTCCACAAATCTGCACAATGTGCGCGTGTCATTGCCCTTGAACCAGCCCCTTAGAAGTAATTCAAGCTTAGCTAAAACAATTCTGCCCAGGAAGGGTTGGGTTGCACAGACCTGCTTCAGTAAAAAAAACCTGTTTAATGCCAATGCTTCAAACCAGGTTCGCCGAGGGATATTCCGAAACTTTGCCACATCCCAAAACAGTCTTCGTAAGAACAGACATATGAAGATTCAATCCACGAAGACGTGCGTAGTTCTGAACCTCCTCGAAAATCAAGTCACAACGTTTCTGAAAAGAAGCAGCCGAGACTATGTTCAGGTCCATCATGCTCACCTTGGGTTCCGGGTTTCATTGCATTCATTTCCACTGGGATGGGCTACCTGTTAAGTAGGGAAAAGCGTGGTGGAACCAAAACAGTTAACTACAGTACCAAGGATCAAGAGCGCTTGCTGCGAAATCTCCCATGATTCCTTTGTGGCATGTGTGAAAAATATCTATCATGTAGAACCGAGCTTTCACATCACAGGGAATCCTGAGCAGTGGAGATGGTTGTCTCCATGGCTCATCATCCAGCGCATGCGGATCAACAAGCCACTCAGCTCTGGAATCAAATTTGTTCCACGGAAATCCTGCACGCCCTGCTTGGCACAAGTGACAAATCCCAGGAGGGCAATCTTTTTGCGGGGAATCTCTGAGAAAACTCCGGTTGAGCTTCCCAAGCTTGATTAATCCTTGCCAGTCTCCTTTCAAACCTAGAATGATTGGATAAACTCTTGTTGTCTTGCCATCGATAACCACACGTATTCCAGAGTAGAAGTACGTTGTGAAATCCTCGGCCCAATGTTCAAGCAACTTGTCAAGCACAGCCTTTTTCTTGCTGTACAAGCGACCTGACATCACCGAATAAAGCATGCGGGTCATAAACGTTGAGCCTGACAAGTTCACATCCTCAGCCCGTCGTGAACCTTGCGCCAAAACCGGCTGAACTTGCAACACCATCAGACCTTTGCGCTTCTGTCCAGTTCCCTCGTCAGCATGCAAAAACATTGGAATGCAATGTTCCAGATGATGCCCATGCTGTTCAAACACTGGATGTTCCCCCCTATGTTTTTGTAGATGCTGACAGAAAACACGGAAATC